ATTAGAGAGGTTGAGGCGCACGTTTTAAACGTGTAAACGTGTACGTGTGACGTTCGGCGCCGCTTTCCCGTAAGCCTAAAAGTTTGACAATGGTGTTTGGATAGTCGGTGGAATCACGCTCGACATTCCAAACACCATCGTCAAACTTTTAGGCTTACGGGAAAGCGGCGCCGAACGTCACACGTACACGTTTACACGTTTAAAACGTGCGCCTCAACCTCTCTAATACCTTTTATTTCGTCCGATAACATAAATGATCTATTCCCGCACTCTTCGACTAGAACCTTTTCACCTAGCCGTACTTCCCCAGCAAATTATACAAATAATTTTAATTTTATGGGTTCAAAATATTTACCATTTTCATTCACTCTTATATTTACCATACTTTTACAATTTTTTTTTTTTTGTTTGTTTGTACCGGTGATTTTCGACGAATACAAATTTATGGGGTGTAAATCGGAAAAGGATATTCCCACGCAAATAGTATAGGGTTGGTATTTTCTAGACCGAAACCGGTAACAGGTAGGCATTCGATAAGTCGTATCGAAATTCCAAGTTGCCACATAGTGTATTGTTATTTCGTGTAGTGGTGTAGATCTCTCCTCTGTAACTCTACGTCTTTTCTTCTTCCCTTTTCGAATACAGAGCGATTTTTCTCTTCTCCCGTTCTTTCGTTTCACTTCTGACAACGTTTACAAACCGTATACAGTGGCGGAATTCCCGGACGACCCGCATTCCTTTTATCGTTTCGGATGCAATTCCGTCCGTCTGTTTCTTCTGTTATCCTCTAACTTCCTCCAGTTCTGTATTGTTTATCTTATATGTTTTATCGTTGCGCCGTCCATAAGACAGGGGTGCTAACCAGTCGACCGGGATAAAGAATCGTACCGGAGTGTACTTCGGTGTAGGAACCAGACTGCCGGAATGTGAGAATATCGAAGACTGGCAGACTGGTGTTTGGAGAGTTAAATGTAGTAAAAAACGTCATCGATCTATCTTACTCGTTAGTACTGTACTTCCACGTTTCCTTACAGAAGAATACGGTAAATGTTACCGGAGTAGAGAGGAACTTAATACAATAATCTGGTAGGGGAGGAAAGTTACGGACAGAATAGAATCCGAGTGGCCTAAATGCACTTTACGGGAAGCGATTAGGAAAAAGAAGGAAAACTTCTGAAAAAATAGAAAATAATTATAAGCGGAAGGCACGGTCGTGCCAGGAAACCAATGGCATATCGAGGAAAATAGAGGGGTAAGAGACTGAGATGCTTACAGTAAAGCCAGAAAACCGCAGTCACCGGAGATAGACATTCGAACATGATTTACAGGGGCAAGACACTACTAATTTGAGCTGGAGAACATATACAGTCGACCCCCTATAACACTGTTGATAATTCCGTTTTATATGAATTCCATGTTGTACGAGTCACTTAGATTTTACAAATACGTGCGCCGTTCACAGCCCGGCACACGTATTTGTAAAATATAAGTGACTCGTACAACATGGAATTCATATAACACGGAATAATCAACAGTGTTATAGGGGATCGACTGTATATGTTCTCCAGCTCAAATTAGTAGTGTCTTGCCCCTGTAAATCATACTTTTCCGTTAGCAATGGAGGTTTCACAGTATTATGATTTCTTGTTTACAGTTCTGACTTGGAATTGTAGAAAAATTTGTAGCTAGAAAAGATTTCCACAAGCACTTCTTAGTGTGAGAAAATATCAACTTTTAAGTCACCTTATATTTTATTGGGATTCAATTTGAAAAAATTGTAGACCTACGAATTCCCACTGTCTTTCTTTAATATCAAGAACGGTGTTAGAGAGATGAAATCCGAGACCAGATACGGAAACCTTAGGAGCAGGAGGCCCCGATTAACTATATACGAATTGAAAATGCTTTTCTCCTTAAAGCAGTTAATAATAGATGATCTGGCACGATTCTATTGTTAAAAGTATGATGTACTGTACTATACAGGGGCGAGCCACTTCTAATTTGAGGTGGAGAGCATTCAGCTTCAGCTTATCTTACCATTTCAAATTATGGTGTAGCCTCCCTTACGTAATCGTCCTCCATTTGTGCTCATGTCCGCCTATCATTTGCTTCTCTCTTCCGTGTTACGCGTCAGTTTCGTCACTCGATTTTTGAGTGACGTTTCGCATCTAATGTTTATTTATTTGTTTATTTGTAGCCTTCTTGCGCTTGGGTGGCGGTGCGCAACCTGAAGAGCGTCGACGACGGAGGCATCCTGGACCCCGACGACCGACTATCCGACGTAGCCGACGACAGAGAACAGGTGAGTCGCCGTCCTTTCCGTTACCCCTGGTTAAAATCGGAAATTATTACCCTTTCGTACGGATTTAACCCTGTTCTTTTCTCCTTTGCAGATCGTGGCCGACTTCGAAGAGAGGCCCTGGCCTCCCGCCCACCACCCGGGAGACGGAACCAGCTCCAGTTCGGCCGGAACAGGCAGTCCCGACATCTTCCGTTCGGCCGACGAAGACCGTCCCTCCGGAGATCTTTCCGATTGCGTCGACGTGCGCCTGGGTCGGCGCCCACCCCTAGGCGAGTGTCCCGCTCGTTCTACTCCGCCTCAGTCCCACCCCTCGTCTTTGGCCGATCCTCCCGTCCCGCGACGGCCGCTAAAATTTCCATCCCGTTCGGTGGCGGAGCGAAACGTAAATTATACGACACCCCGCGCCGGTGGAGGATTTTCTTAACCGCTCTCTCGGCCCTTAATTCGATCGGTAATTTTGTTCTGTCGCTTACGTTTAACGAAAAACTCTGCCAAGGAACCGTCGTTTCGACTCCGCCCTCCTTTTTTTTTCTTCGTTCCTTCGCCCGCCCGGACTCCGCCTTCCTGTACTCCCATTCGTTCCTTTTCTCCGGCTCCTCCTACGTCCACCGCCGGGTGGGCGGGGCCGTGTTTTCCCCTTTTCTTTCGGCTTTTAAATATAGTTTACCGGGCGAAACCGTCGGAATTTTCGTTCCGCTTCCGCCGATAAAAGAGATACGACTTCGAAATTCGGGTTTAGCGCGGCTCTACCGGTTACCCGACGTCTTTTCTCCTATATAGTAAAGTCCGCCAAACAATTTAGAAGGTGTCCCGACTCGATGCAAACGGTTTAGAAATAATTCCGTCCACGTATTAACGCGACCGAACACCGTCGTTGCCAGTTTGTTAAACGGTCCGTTTCTTCCGTCGGTAGGTGTGGCCGGTCTGCGAGTGAGGAGGGGAAGCGAACCCGCCCTCAACCGTCTGTCTCCGCCCGTCCAGGCTCCGGACCGCACCAAGAGGTGGTCGGCCGCCCTCGTGGTCGAAGATCCTGCCCGCGCCCAGGTGAGTCTCCCTCTTCTCTTTTACTCGTCGATTCCGCTGTCCTCCCGGAAGGATCCTTCCCTCATCCGAGTCGCGTAACCCATCGAGTAAATTTAAGGTTAGGCGGAGGACCTTACTCGGTGTCCTTAGTCTTTGATTTTTCGTCTTTAAATTATTAATTTTGTCGGAATTCCTTCCCTTCTTCTCGACCAATCGTCCTCCAGGATGGGGGGGGGTAAACGCTTCGGAAGAAGTGGTGCCGTCGGCTCAAAAGGGGTGGTCAGAGGGGAACCTTCTTCGATCCGTTGGTTGCGTCCGGTTTTATTTAAGGAAACGAAGGAAAGAAAGATCCTCTCGGGAGGCGGGTCCCGAGAGGATCTAGATTTTTTCCATCTGTTTCAGGCCAGGAAAGAGCCTCTGGGAGGATCTTCGCCCGAAAGAGACCCGGAAGAAGAGGAAGAAGAGAAAAGAGAAGAAGGGGAAGAAGTATCTGAAGAGGAAGAATCATCCGGCTCCTCCGTCCGGTGAGTAAACTTTCCGGCGGCGGATGGGAGGCAATTTTTCGGTCTGTCGGCGGAAGAAAGAAGACTTAAACGCGGCCCGTTCTTCTCCGGACGTTTAAGGTCGTTCTCCGGGACGGGGCCCATTTCTGTCCCGTCTCGTAGACGCCCAGACCCGGAAAAGCAGGCCGATAAACGCCTTTTTTCCTTTCTCCGGCCAATCAAAGGACGATTTAAGCCGTCTCTCACCCGCCGACGGAATACCTCCTCCTCCTCTCCCACCACCTTTCCGTTCTTTTCCCTTCTTCCGGGCCTACTAACGGGGCGGGTATTTTCAGGGAGGCGCTAATAGCGCTGAAGAACGAAGCGGGTCCCTTGGGCATCCACGTGGTTCCCGACTACGACCGAAATGGAAGGTGAGTTTCTTCTCCCTCCTCTTCTCCGTCCGTGCCAAATTCCCGGATAAGACCTTTCTCCAGTGGCCGGAATTAATTAGGCCGATGCCGTGGGCGGTGGACCGACCACAATTTTATAATACAAGCCAAGCTCCATCGAAATTGTGGCCGACACTTCGGGCAACCGCTGACATTTTCACAGATTTTTGACAATGGAATAACGACTGCCAATCATAAAATTCGGCACGGAATAAATCCCGTAATTAGGAAAATTTGGCTTTTGGCCAACTTTTTCGTAGTAGAATTCCATTCCCTTTACAAGTGGCCCTACGTAGTAAAAGGTCGACATTCTCTACCACCGATTTCTATTGGCTAATGAATTCAAGACGTTTCCATTTGCTTTGTGACTAAAGATGGTTCCTGTCTTTCAGGGACTGCGGCTTGTTGGTGCAGGGAATCGAACCCGGAGGGAGGATCGACCGCGACGGTAGACTCCGAGTTTCCGACCGCATTGTGGAGATCAACGGACGTCGCCTGAGCCGCGTGGGTTTCCGCCAGGCCCAGGACATCTTCAAGGAGGCTCTGAAGGCTCCCGAGATCCGCCTGCGCCTGGTCCGAGCGCCCGTCGACCCACACCACCCGGCCGGAAGTCCGTCGCCGGAAGGGGAGAAGTCTTCGGAAGAGATGGTGGTACGAGCCGAAGAGAGAGGTGAGTGGGAAAGAAACGCCTTCTTCTTTCCTGGGAGGCGGAATCACCGCAGAAAACGGTTCGAACTCATTTATGTGGCAAAAGGAACCGGTTTTCCTTTTCCTTTCTTATACCTTCGGGTGGTCGGACCATCGGCGTATTTCCTATTCCGGTTTAAAATTTCTTACGGGAAGAGGGATGCGGTTTTCTTCCGGGCACCGGAAGTGGCGGAAGAAAAGCCTTTCGTTCGCCGATGGAAATGTTCCCCTTCCGGAAGGGGAATTTGTAAACGGGAAGATCGCTCCGGAAACGGCGGAGGGATCGACCACCACCGAACCGACTTTTGCAGCGTCACCCGGGATGACCCGTCTTTTCGTTCATTCGACAGGCGAGGCGGAGACAAAAGTTGCCACCGTTACCCCCACCAAGAAGGTGCCGCCCGGCGTGCCTCACAGAAATCCCAACGCGGCGCTGACGGCCAACACCAGGAAGATCGGACGGAGGATCCGCATCCAACTGACCAAAGGTAATCCTCTTCTTTTCCATCTTCTCCTTCGTCCGCCCTCCCGTAGGCGGGGGAGGATGGCGGAGTCGGAGAACTTTTCTTTCCGAAATATTCTTTCGCTGGTGAGACATCGCCTAGAAATTGTCTACGGCGAAATCTTTGAACACTCAGACCCATCTCACGTTCTGACTCGACCGAGTCGATGGTGACCGTCGAGATGTCACGAAAACCGAGTACAGTAGCAGTTTTAGCCTATGTAAAATATGTGTTTATTACATCCCACTTCTTTCTCTTGTTGTTAGATTTGAATCCCGTCAGTCAGGGAAAACACAGGGTCTTTGCATTTAGTGTTTTATTAGCGAGGTTGCGGCCGAAGTTTTCATCTCTAAAACGTGAACGTCGGACGTCGAGCGCCGCTACCTTATAAGCGGCGCTCGACGTTCGACGTTCACGTTTCAGAGATGAAAACTTCGGCCGCAACCTCGCTATTAAATTGGGATGTGTTGTGATTGTAATAATTTCACTGCTAAGTTATGGTATATTTTTATCCCGGGAATGGTAGTACTCGTCACCAAAGTAACCAGGGAGGTGGTCCGGGTGAGGAAGAAATTAATTGGGTCTGACTCGCTTTTCTTTTATGGTAAATTGTAATTGAGAGCGAGAGGAGAAGAAAAGGAGAAGGTGTCCCGACTCGATGCAAACGGTTTAGAAATAATTCCGTCCACGTATTAACGCGACCGAACACCGTCGTTGCCAGTTTGTTAAACGGTCCGTTTCTTCCGTCGGTAGGTGTGGCCGGTCTGCGAGTGAGGAGGGGAAGCGAACCCGCCCTCAACCGTCTGTCTCCGCCCGTCCAGGCTCCGGACCGCACCAAGAGGTGGTCGGCCGCCCTCGTGGTCGAAGATCCTGCCCGCGCCCAGGTGAGTCTCCCTCTTCTCTTTTACTCGTCGATTCCGCTGTCCTCCCGGAAGGATCCTTCCCTCATCCGAGTCGCGTAACCCATCGAGTAAATTTAAGGTTAGGCGGAGGACCTTACTCGGTGTCCTTAGTCTTTGATTTTTCGTCTTTAAATTATTAATTTTGTCGGAATTCCTTCCCTTCTTCTCGACCAATCGTCCTCCAGGATGGGGGGGGGTAAACGCTTCGGAAGAAGTGGTGCCGTCGGCTCAAAAGGGGTGGTCAGAGGGGAACCTTCTTCGATCCGTTGGTTGCGTCCGGTTTTATTTAAGGAAACGAAGGAAAGAAAGATCCTCTCGGGAGGCGGGTCCCGAGAGGATCTAGATTTTTTCCATCTGTTTCAGGCCAGGAAAGAGCCTCTGGGAGGATCTTCGCCCGAAAGAGACCCGGAAGAAGAGGAAGAAGAGAAAAGAGAAGAAGGGGAAGAAGTATCTGAAGAGGAAGAATCATCCGGCTCCTCCGTCCGGTGAGTAAACTTTCCGGCGGCGGATGGGAGGCAATTTTTCGGTCTGTCGGCGGAAGAAAGAAGACTTAAACGCGGCCCGTTCTTCTCCGGACGTTTAAGGTCGTTCTCCGGGACGGGGCCCATTTCTGTCCCGTCTCGTAGATGCCCAGACCCGGAAAAGCAGGCCGATAAACGCCTTTTTTCCTTTCTCCGGCCAATCAAAGGACGATTTAAGCCGTCTCTGATGAAATCGGAGACCAGATACGGAAACCTTAGGAGCAGGAGGCCCCGATTAACTATATACGAATTGAAAATGCTTTTCTCCTTAAAGCAGTTAATAATAGATGATCTGGCACGATTCTATTGTTAAAAGTATGATGTACTGTACTATACAGGGGCGAGCCACTTCTAATTTGAGGTGGAGAGCATTCAGCTTCAGCTTATCTTACCATTTCAAATTATGGTGTAGCCTCCCTTACGTAATCGTCCTCCATTTGTGCTCATGTCCGCCTATCATTTGCTTCTCTCTTCCGTGTTACGCGTCAGTTTCGTCACTCGATTTTTGAGTGACGTTTCGCATCTAATGTTTATTTATTTGTTTATTTGTAGCCTTCTTGCGCTTGGGNCTACTGGTTTGGGCGTAAGTGTGAAAGGAAAGACTTCTACTGGACAAAATGGAAGTGTCGATCTTGGAATATTCGTGAAATCGGTAATTGAGGGAGGTGCTGCTTTCAAGGTAAATTGAAATTTATCTAAACTTTAACCAGAACTTACTACAGTAAATTGCATTTGTATTTATTTTTTCTATTTCTTGTAGTCTTAAAACTATTTCTTTTCTCGTGTGACGTATATAGTTAACCTGGGCCTCCTAACATTAAGATTTTCATACCCATGTCTTCTTTTATCTATCTAACTCGGTTCTCGAGATTAAGGAAAGACGGACGGAATTAACTAATGTACAACTTGTCTACATTAAGATTAATAAAAACATTAATTTTGCTATAAAGATTTTGATAAATATTACTGTAATTGCAGTTATTTAGTCCGTCTTCTGGTGATGCAAAGTAATTATAAATGCGTATAAATTCAATGGGTCAATTTGTAGACCTATAAATTCTTGCTGTCGTCCGTACTTCTGTCTTTCCTTTTGGAAGTCATTCTATTTCAATTCAAACTTTTCTCCCAAAAGCGGTTAATAGGTGACCGGCACGACTCTATTGTTAAAGGAAAAGTAACATTTTGGCTTTCCGAGTTGGTTTCCTGATGCAAAACTTTTATTTTCCCCTCCAGGATGGTCGACTGAAGACTGACGACCGACTGATCGATATCGACGGGACGTCGTTACTGGGGATGTCCAACGGCCGGGCCATGGAAGCTCTGAGACGGGCCATCAGCCCCCGGGACGGAGTCTTTCCCCCTTCCATCACCTTGTCCGTCCGTCGGCGGGTCCGGTCCGCCGCCTCCCATCCGGCCCGGGCACCGGCTCCCGGCCTTTCCGATTCCGATTCTGGCAGCGACTCAGTGGAAAAGAAGCGTAGTGCCGGCCATCCCTCGGAAGCTGCAGCCACTTTTTTAGGGGAAGGAAGGAAAGACGACAACTTCAGGAAGAAGAGCCGAGACCCAGAGGCGGGATGGGGTGGAACGGCGGCGGACCCTTCGGGCGGGACATTGGAAACGCCGTCCGGAGAAACTGTGTTGATCCAAACCGACGTTCCTGATTGGTCGTCAAGAGCCATTTTCTGCCCCTGCCCGGCCGGCGACCCCAAAGTGGAAAAGTCGGAGAATACCTCAGACGGGCGGTGAGTACCTTTCTTTAACCGTATTTAATCGCTAACGTCTCTCTCCTTTAAACTTTTAAATGCCATTTTCTGTTTGTAAATATACCGACCTATCAACAAGAGACGTTTTCCATCATTTATTCTTTAAATATTTGCCGGAAATGATCCAAACGGCATAAGAAAAGCCATAAGAAATCACAAAATGTAGGAAAGATGCAAATTCCCATTTAAAATCTGCACACTTAACATGGTGAAAGTAATATTTTTACTTGCAAGAAAGTATTGTTTTTGTTGTCCAGTGTTGTTAAAGAAATTTTCAAGTGCAAACTTTCTAAAACTGACGAACAATTATTTATTGTGACATCGTTATAATGTCGGACTGAAGGTTTTAATCGTCTTCTGATGAAATGGTCAAGAGACTTCCGGTTCGGATATACAATTAATCGGGGTCTCCGGCCCTTAAGCTTTCCATATTTAGTCTAAATTTTAGTGATGTCTTCTCCTCCAAATCATACTTCTCCCGGTAATGACCGTCGTGTGGGTCATCTAGCTAACCCCGTTCTCAAGATTAGCGAAGGACGGACAGACGGACGACAGTGGGAACGTAAGGTTTTCAATTTGAAAATTGAAAAGTGTAAGAACATCAAATATTTTACTTCTGTTCGCTGTTGTAGAGAGTGTCTATTAGTCATTCGGTTATCAATATCTCCAGAAGTTCTAGGATTCACTTTTATCCCAGGCATTAGCAGAAATAATGTGGTTTTGATGCTCCTCTCTCAATCCTGTATTCATTAGTGTACTGTACCTTAGATACGACAACGATGTACACATATTATAGCCGGCAGGCGTCGTTGAATTTGATTGTTTAGTGAACACCTTCAACTCCTTTAAAATTTGGGTCAGTGTCAGTGTGGAAAGAGGAGACCAATAGCATAAGTTTTCTGGACTTACAAAAAACCAGAGGGGCACTACGATTGTCTTTCTGTTCCTATCGTAAGTCCACGCTTCCCCATGTTTCCACTAGGTGGAATTGTCATTTCGATTTAAGTTTTACCCGTTGGTGGCCGTACGACCCCAAATCGGAAGAACGTCTCATTTTTTTCCAACCACTGCCGGAATTTTTAAACCAGAATTGGATATCATCAGAGTGCACTAATTGCAGAATATAACGAGAATATCTTTAATACTGAATATAACTAAATGCATTGTTTGCTTTTTTCCTATATCACCTGTTCAAAACTGGAAGGTGTTTTCTTCATTCACATTTTAGTATATGAATGCTACAGCTTACCTTCACAAATGTAAGAAAGAGCATCTCATAGCTCGACCCTCTGTAACCAAGAGGAATCTTGAGATAGAGATAGACCCTTGGAGTAAACTAGAGTTATCGAACATTGTTATGCTTTAGAGCAATGTAATTGTTTAGTCAGGAGTGAAGAGCTGGGTTAAATCAAAATAGTCATGGAGGTATCTAAAAGTATTTGGAGGTATGGAGTCAAAGGCTATAAGTCAGGTATAAGTCAATTAAGCTATGTAACGCGAATGTTTTTTTTTTTTCAAAATTATTCAAGATTATAAACGTCATATCGAGTAAGTTAGTAATAGTTGATTGATTTAGCAGTTTGAATGTTGTGAATAGGTAAGAGTTATGAAATTATTGGAACATAAATTTTATTGAAGAAATGTATTTTGAAAATTTTAAGCATTGTAACAGATAAATAAGTGGGTTGGAAAGATTTTTTTGTCCTTTTTTTGGTATTAGTAGAGTAATAGTAGAGGAATACCATTGTTTTGAAACAAAACTATAATAGAGTACTTTAGAAAAAAGTCTTGATAAAATTACAGTGATAATCAGTTTTAATTTTATATACAAAATTGAGGGAATGGAGTCAGGACTGGAATTGGAGGGCTTCAAATTACAATAAGCGTCAAAATACTCCCAAAGTTCCTATGTAATTTAGAAAAATAGCAAAAACTATTCGTTATGCGAAAGTAAAAGGAAATAAATCAGCTGTAAGATTATTACAATATTCACATAATAGCAAAAAATTAAAATAATTTTCATATTTTTTAATATCTTCTTCTTCATCTTTATCTTTGTCTTTTCCCATGTTTATATGGGGTCAGCATTTCCTTCTCTAATACATTTTTTCCATTTTTCCCTATCAAGGACTTTTCGTAAGCCCCTTCTTATTCAAGTCTTCTTCCACCTTATCTTTCCAACACATCTTTGGTCTTCCTCTTTCTTTTTACTACCAGTTTTCCAATCTTCTTTCCAATGTAATTGTCGCTTCTTCGCTCTACGAGGCCAAACCACCTCAACCTATATTCTTTCATCTTTTTGCTCAAGGGGCCCACCTTAACACAACCTCTAATAAAATCATTCCTTATTCTATCTTTCCTTGACATTCCACACATCCATCTCAACATTCTATCTTCACCACCTCCATCTCTCTTTCTTGGGCTCTTATTGCCCGTGTCTCAGCTCCATATAACATTGCAGGTCTAACAACTGATTTATACAATTTTCCTTTCAGATTGCAGCTAACTTTCTTGTCGCATAACACACCGCTCAGCTTCCTCCAGTCCATCTATCCACATTGAATTCTATGCTGCACCTCTGAGTTCAATCCTCCTCCCATCTCGACAAATGTCCCAAGATGCTTAAAATTCGGAATCAAAGGGAGCGGCACATTTTGGATTTTAATTTTACACTCGTCTCTACCATTCAAAGTCATATAAGCTGTTTTTAGTTCTGATAATCTTCATGCCCCTTTCTTTCAAAACTTTCCTCTAATCTTCCAGTTTCTTCTCAGCCTTGGTTTGGGAAAGTTCACACAGCACAATATCATCCGCTTCTTTCATATATCATCCGCTCCCTTTCATCTATCTAACTCCATTCTGGAGTTAGATAGATGAAAGACAAGACCAAATATGGAAATCTTAGGGGCAGGAGGCCCCAATTAACTATATACAAATTTCGGATGTAAACCAGAAATCACATTATTTCAATTCGAGAATTTTCCCCCGAAAGGTGTTAGATGACTGGCACAACTCTATTGTTAAAGGAAAAGTATGATGTACAGCAGCGCTGTCCAACTTATCATAGCCTGCGGGCCATATTTTCTTCACCAAACATTTCGGGGGCCAAGAAGATTGATAAATGAAAAGTCTGTTTATGTTAATTATACTAAATAGTACCTACTTTACGCAAACTAAATAGTACCTACTTTAAATTCAAATTAGATTTAAATTTTCACATAGTAAAATGATTTTAATATTAATAATAATAATTTAGTAACATAAATTTATTCATAGTAAAATGTACTCGCGGGCCGTAAAAATTATTTGACGGGCCGTATACGGCCCGCGGGCCACCAGTTGGACAGCGCTGGTNGGCACGACTCTATTGTTAAAGGAAAAGTATGATGTACAGGGTCAAGCCACTACTAATTTGAGATGGAGAGCGTATATTTTAAACAAAATAAATTAAAAATATGATTAAAAATTGCACCCCGACTTTGTGACGACGTCACAATAAATAATTGCTTGTTATTATTATCTTTTTTTACATTAATTTTGTACTTTTACCTACCTCTTATATTTTTAGTTACTGATGAGGGACCGTGAAATGAAAGTCGGTCCGAAATGCACAAAATAACGTACGTAACCAACCAAAATAAATATAATTAAATTCTACGTCTTGGATCATTAAATTGACCATAGAGTTCCTGTACACCTGCAGACACAAAGTTATGGAATTTTCAAGAATTTTTCAATATAAATATAGTCGATGATCCCAACAACAAAGGAAATTATGACATTTTATTACAATATTTATTGATTTGATGAAAATAAAAGTAAAATATTAATAATTATATATTTTCGACGAATAATTTTTATTTTAATAAGATTTATCGGGCTCATAAATGGACTGAGCATATTCAACACACAATATTATTCATATGAACAATAAATATTTAACCAAATCATATCTTATATGTAAACACCCAAGATTCATTTCGAAATTTAATTGTAAAAGTGCATATTATATTTCTTTTTATATGGTGTAATGTTTCAGTCAATCCTTCAGAGGCATCAATTAACTCTACCGCTTGGTTATATTAGTTTTACTTATTGTAAAATATTTGTTTTGTAAACTCAAGTATTTAATAAATTTAAGAAACTTTGTGTTCATATTCATTGGTGTGATAAGCCCTAACTTAAACATTTCTACTAACTTAAACCAGTTATTTAAGTCACACGTTGATTTAATGGGATATGGCAGTGCAAACCGTAGGCAATCTGCCAAGGCCAATGTCTCCTGGAAAGATGTAATGTATCTAAATTGGGACCGATTTTCCAATTAGACGTATGAAGAAAAAACTGGAAACTCCATACACCAGTGCATATTCAGTTGGTCCATTGTTTGGTGATTTTATCCACACGTCCACTGGGTGGACGATAATTACGTGAAGGTCAGATAGTGAAGGTGGATTAGCCATCAGCTTACTGCTTTGGAAGACCAGAAATTTGAATTCGGACTGGTTAACAAACCCAAGAATTAGTGTGTGGTATGTTCTGGATGTTAGGTGGTCGAGACCTGTCCCTCACCACCTAACTATCCCATTGTGGGCCTGGCTGAACACAAGATACACTTGAGAAAAGGCCCTATTAGTGCTCAATTTACAATTTACACTCAGTGGCAGAAATATGTTAAAAAACGATCAGACTCAAAAAAACGAATGCCAACTAGTGACAGACAAGAGCTACCAGTTTTTCTCTATAGCTAAAAAAGTTAGCCAAATAATGCAGCCAGCATAATGTTTTGGTGCCAAAATGGACGTCGAAGTAGCCAAATAAGGTAGCTGTGGTCTTTAGGAAGAAATGATATCCGAGGCTAATGGTGGCGAAGAATGTAGAAAAACCATAAAAAGGGTGTTTGTCATAAGTTTTCTAATCAGCTTTTAACTGGTAATATTTTAAAATGACACCTGTGTCAACGGTGAAAAATTAGAGACAAATTTCTGAAAATGTTCAACTTAAATCACATAAAAGTGTCCAAAATTTGAGGTAGAGATTAAAGTAATTTTTTTTAATTAAAAAGTTTTACATTCTACAACTTTTTAATTGCAAATATCTGTTTCACCCATAGTCAATCTGCAATTACTTTCGAAATTGTTCTTTAATTTATTAACATATACGATTCTTATATTTACTTAAAAATATTTAACTGCAATGAAAACAAATGCAATCCACATTGCATTTAGTATTGCCCTGTATCCCTGGTGGTATTATAAACAAAGTTTACAACTCGGAACTTTGGCAGGAAGACTAAAAACACAAAATTAATGGGGATGTTGGTACAATAAGCACATGCTTGAACAATATCATGAACTCTGCAAATAATGATTTTTTTAATGATAGATTAATCTACTTTTATCCTAAACTTTTTAAGTAAAAATAGCTGACTGTACGTAACTTACCCTTTGCACGGACAGTACCGTTTTTTGCCGTCCTGTCCCTTAAGTAAAATATTCACTTTTGTTTGAAGCTTCTCTGCACAAAACTCCTTCTGATCAAGTCTTTTGTAAGGCCAGAATAATGCAACAACTCGAAGAATTGCCATCTTCTTTTGGGTTCTGTAAATTAATGTTGAGTTTCTTTGACAGGATGATAATGCAAGGGTTGCAAATAGAACTAACAATTTTCTTATAATGCATATGGCACATCTCTTCAGTCAGCACTTAGAAAGTGACCTGCAAATACTATTAATCAATAGAAAAAGATATATAAAACTATATTATAAATATATTTTTATATATCTAATATATCTTTTATTTAATATGCCAAACCAAGATTTTATCTCTCTTTTGTTAGATCATAAAAGATACAACAACCGTAAAAATAAAAATGTGAAGTAGTGATGATACCGACTTCATGCAATCACCAGTATTTAGCCACCTCCCTAGGGTTAATTAAGGGTGACATAATCTATAGAAGGCCCTCTAATTATTGTACTAACTAATGGCCATTAAAGCTGCATTCAGACAAACTTATATTATGTGAAGGTCGTGTCTCTCCATTCCATTAAGTTTCATGCAGTATTCATATGTGCATAACTACCCTTACTGTCTACTAATCAAGTATTGACATTTTTATAATCTTTTTCTCTAGTATTGTAAAAATGGGATATTTATTTACTTCAATAATTAGATTTTCTCTTTTGTCGTTTCTGGCCCTCATGATTATCTTCAGACAATTCTGATTGGCCAAATGTAAGATTCTTTCCTTTAAAATTGACTCAGGATCAATTCTAACGTAATGACGTTGTTGTATGCCAGGAAGCAATTTCAACAGCAACGTCACGTCATGTTATGTCTGCCTGTTCAAACACAGCTTAATGTCAGTAATTGATGTTATCAAAATAACAACAATTACAAACAATATTGGCTATTCCATTTCAGTCAAGACAACCAGCATTTAGCTATCCTCAAACTCTGTTACAATAATGAAGTTGTTGGAACTGCCAACACGTGACTTAAAATTTCAGTCTTTATCAACCAAAAATGTATGAATTTGACATACAAAATGTGATTTAGGAGTATCAATGTATAATATTAGAAAGTCTGTAAATCATTGGAGGGTATAAAAGTGTAAATTACAAATAAAATAAACTAACTTTCAAATTTCAGGTTATCTTCAGAAGATACGAGTTTTTGTAGAGATGGATTTGGAAGACAGAGTATTTCTGAAAAACGACATGCTCAACTTGATGCAAAAAACACGGACACATATCAGAGAAATAAAAAAGCTCGAGCGGAAAGAGACCGTCACAAAAGCGATTCCACGGACGTCATTCAGTCTGAAGAACAGAAGTCCGCTAAATCTGACTTAGAAGAAAATATAGGAAACGGTAAATTTGGAAGATTTATTTTTATAATTTTAAACATTTTATAAATCCTCGGGCTATAATTTATGGCAGTTGTTGGTGTGTCATTGCAATTCATCGGGTTTTAGTATAGATGTTTATATTTAAACATCTCAGTTTTTAAAACCAAATATAAAAGCAAATATTAATTATAATAATGATTATATCTTCAACTTATCTTAATGACGATAGCTTTTAAGACCACTTTAGGATATTAAATAATTATTATTATTAATTAACCCCTTCACCTCACTGATTACACATAGAGAACGCCTAACCTCACACTAATTACTTATGGTAGGTAACTACTTACAAGTAACTTGTTATTTTTAATGTAGTTATTAAATTACACTACATTTCTGTTTAAAAAATTCCCGTAAAGTGTAGACAATGTAGACAAAGTAAGATACTTCCGTGCAGCATGTCTACACTGTATAGTTTGACTTGAATTACTTTATGCAAAACTGATAACACTTGGCTCAAATTTAGAACAATGTGTGAGCACATCTGTAGATTTGAATTGATCATTGATATTAAGCCAACAACTACCTGATTATATCAGGATATTATATAATGATTATTTTAAATTAATTACTAACCGCAGGCCGGCCAGTGTTGTCGCACGCCAGACGACTTCTACCTCTTTTTTCCCATATCCTTCCTCGAAAATCCCCACTTTCTCCACACATTGTTTGGAAAATACAGACTAAATCCCCATATAAACTAAAATGCTTGTAACTGACATTAATTAAACAAAATAAAATTGTCTTTAAGGTTAAATTAATTAATATACGTTTTATACTTTTTAGCCGAAGGAGAATTAAAACCTGCTATTAATCTGATGAGATCTAATTCTGCCGATTCTCTCGTGAGCCTAAAGCAATGTAATAATGAAAGTAAGAAAATTTGTTTTATTAAATTTAATATTTTTGTACATATTTTAAAAAATATTGAATATATAATATTTTAAGAAATAACAATAAAAGTACTTGTATATAATATAAAGTTTTAAAATTACATTTTTATTGAGTAAAGAAACTAATTAGAAATTAAACTGTAAAAGTATTCTGAGAATATTTACTATCTTTAATGGCTTATTACTGGAAAATAACTATTTGAACTGCATAGATACAAATCTGCTATATTTTCTTCTTTTTGGTTACTTGACGTTTAATATACAAACTTTAAATGATAAAAACTAGACTCTTTTTTTTAGTAGAAGTTAATCTTAGATTAATTCCTATCAATGTAGCATTACTGTAAACTGTGTGTGCTTTGGCTTAGAATTCTGGACTAACAATAATGATAAAAACTATTCAAAACATTTAATTACTAGTTAGTTATATAAGGTGGAACATTAATAATAATAGTACATGGATTTAATCGCCACCAGTGTCAACTAAAAGAAAAAAACAAAGAATACACCACTCTTATGAGTTGAGCACTTAACAGTCACCAAAAATACAGCCAGACAATTTGATCTAAAATTAGATTGCCTTTAAATAAAGTAGTCCATGTTTTAGAGGTTTCCAGAGTTGTGGTATTACATGGTGAAATTAGATTGCCTTTCATGCTCGTAGTCTCAAGTTCGCTTTCAGTAGTTACGCGCCTCTCCATTGAACTGGTGTGTCGTCTTTTATCTGGCTTACAAAGTGTAATATCACACTATCGTATTTACATATTTCTGCGTTACGGGATCAGTCACGTATGTAAGTGAATGTTTCTCTTTAATTTTGAATTTAATTTATTTTTTGGGATTTTGGGAATTTGCATTCTTAAAAACATAAAACATCTTGGTTTTGGTTTACACTTCATTTTAATAATAAAATTTCATTTAAATTCTTTGAGGGAGTTGGATGATTTTTTTTTTAAAAATATATTAGCTTTTTCAACATACATTAGGCAATTTGTTTCAAATTGTGGTAATATGAATGTGGTGATATGATCTAACAAAAAGATAGGCAAGTAATACAAAAGAAACGTACTTTATTTCACCCGTGGTTTTATACTTTTCAGGATTCATATAGATTCCGACACTCCTCGTTAGAATTCTTATACAAACAATTCACCAGATACACAGGCAGAACCGTTCATGCAATTCTTGCGACAAAAAAATAAGCCCAAAAATATTCGCCATGGTACAAAGAAAACTTATAGCTAAAAACTTAAAAACTACTTATTCTAAAAAAGGAAGGAGGAAAAGGATAGAAAACAGGACAGAATAGATTTTTTTTAGTGCAAGACAAGAATGGGTACCCAAGATAGTTGACAATCTCGTGGTGGTAGTGGCCAAAATATATCTTTATAGATGATGAGGGACACTGGGTAGAATTCGATTGAAAACTTTCTTATACCTTTCCAGAAGTACTTATATCAGGATACTCAATTCCTCTTGATCGTTAATATTAACCTATAGTCTCTTTCTCTCTCTCCAACCGATGCTAAAACGACCTGGAGAACACTACGACGCGTCTTCTCACCTCGAAATCCCGACAAAAAGTGGCCCCCGTCATCTCTTCTCTTGTCCTCAGGGTCATACCTCTCCTTTGTCTTATAACTAAGCCACTCACCATACACACTTGGAAGAGGTTCCTAGAAAGTTATATACAAAAGAACCAAGAACAAAGGAATGGAAAAAGTATACGTATACTATTAAAGATATATACAAACTTATCAAAATATAATGGTATACCACCACAAAATATCTTTAAGAACTTGAAACCTGCAAAGTTTTGTAAAACAATATACAATATGATTATTATTAACATCCTTGCATGGAAATCAATATTTTAAAAATTCTGTAACATATTTCCTTTTTCTTACAAATGTTTTTTTTTTTTTTCATAATTTGTTTCTTTTGTGTGTTAGAATGACATTCTTAATAAACATGTATAAATCCACTAAGCATTTTTTGTTGACTGTGAATGACAATCACTAATGTTGTATATATTTTTAAAGATTTTTTAAGCAGAGGAATGATATTTGTGACCAGAGAGAAAGGATTGATGGCCTCACAAGACCCTATATTTGAGAATTGTTGCTTTACACTATTGTTAGTATAATGAGAGCAAAATGATTAAAAGTACAAAGCAGGTGCAATAAAATAAAATTAACTTACATAACATTATCATTTTTGTACATATTGTGCTAGAGAATTCCATTAAAGTTGTCAAAATCACCGCATTTTGATTAAAATTTTGGCCATCAGCTTTTTTGAGCAAATAGCAAACATTTCTGGCCTCAATACCATTTTTTTTCAAAATTACAGGTTGACAGATCTGAATATACAAGAAGTAAAACATGTCTAAGTATTAATTAATACTTAGTATTAATTGTAGACATATAAATTCCCACTGTCGTCTGTCCTTCTGTCTTTCCTTAATCTCAAGAAGAACGGAGTTAGATAGATAAAATCTGAGATCAGATATGGAAACCTTAGGTGCGGGAGGCCCCAGTTAACTGTATATGAACTTTCAATGCAAACCAGAAGTCATGTTATTTGAATTCAAAACTTTTACCCTGAAAGCAGTTACTAGATGACTGGCACAACTCTCTTGTTAAAGGAAAAGTATGATATTCAGGGGCAAGAGTAAGGTTGCCACCTTTTTAAAATCGCTGACCTGGACGGCAGGTGAGGTTTGTTCGAACAGAAGTTCCTGACGCATGCGTATATCATTTTGCAATGCAAGGAATAATTTGCAGTGCATGCTGGTTCTAAATCAGTTACAGTTAGCGAGTAGGGAGACTTGGATAGGAGTTACGCAAGTGACCTAGCTCTATTGGATATTGAGGTGTATAAGATTACAAATGAATCGTACAAACAAAAAAAGAGAAAAAAACGTCGACAGCTTCCGCACGATATCCCCGGCGGCGAGTCGGATGGTAACACTATTCCGTGCTTATTTCAATAGGTCCGAATCGTAGGTGGTCGAAAATATGAAATATTTTCACTGCGCCTATGCTAGTTGTAGACGTTATGTCTTTAAGCCAACGACTACCACACTAGTAATTTGGTACACGGGGGAAGAAATATATGCGACGGTTTGCATATAATTTTGTACATATTCATTTCAACTTGCACNTATTGTGATTCAGATTTATTGATGATGATGATGATACTGATTGATAACTTATTCATTAATGCAAGGTTGCGTTAATAAATAAAGTTAAAACCTTGCGTTAATAAATAAGTAATATTTTTCTTTTCAAATAATTCAATACTATGATTAACAGTTTTATCAATATTTAAAGTAGCTTCAGTATATCTGTGAATCACCACAGTGTATTATTTGGAAAAAATAGATAATATGAACAAACATGGACTATGAGATGAAGATATGGACAAATAACAGTGGAGGAAGTTAAAATTCTTTATTATACTATTCAATAATATTTAAATTTTTCTATATATGAGGTTTTAAAATGATTTTTCCATGTGTTTAAATATGAATATTTAAGACATTTATTATTAATACACCAGGTAATGAAAATGGCAATGTATTCGAATTATGTTACTGTAGGAACATTTTAAATTATCTAAATATTAATCTAAAAATATTTTAAAATACAAGGATTTTTAGTAGAAATTATGTAGTTTTATGCACATTTCTTCTCATAGAATACCTAAGAAATTGATCTGCACATAAGTTTACTCAACTATGAACTACAATAAATAAAAATTTTTGCTGAAGTTTTACATTGGTATGCACATGCATAAGTCTATTTTTTAAATAATTAAAAAGCTGTTTTCATTTCCTAATTTATATCTTCGCAATAGCTTGGCCAATTTGAACACAACAGTCATTTAAAGTTCTCTTCATTCACGTAGAAAATTTCATCAGATTTTTCCAAAATGTTTTTAGTTTGATAATTATGCTATTTATCAGTCAAAGATTTCCAATGTGCATATGAAATTTGAAATTATTGTAGTTGATTTGGTCTGAAAATATTTTAATTATACTGTTTAATTGTTGAAAGTACTCGCATGCATTTGAATTAGGAGAAGCTTCGGTTTCTCTAGTCTGCATCTGTTATAAGATAGTCTCTCGGTCAAAATTCAATTGTTTATTTACATTTCAAAAGTATACTGTAGTTTCTGTTATTGATTTCTTTAACATTGATTTAAGAAGTAATTGTTTTTAGAATTTGAGAATTCTCTAAATTTATAATTAACACAATACTGGATATATAAACAAAAAACAACTCACACAGTCAACCAAAATCCAGCAATAAAACAGTTGCGTGAATGTTTTCATCTACCTTCCAGTAGACAACTTCGGGTGGAATATTACGAATGTACGAGAAAATTCTTCATTTAGAATCGCACATAGTAGATGTGGCGCCTGGCTATTGATGGGTACAGATGATGTCGTAGAATTTGCGTCAGATGGAACATCGTCAGCTGGATGTTGATGAACGTAAAACTTCCAAGCCGGGGGAATGATTCCGCGCCCTCGTGATTAACGGCATGCTTCTTTACTGAAGTCTTGTAGATCTCATACTTCTCCAAGTGTCATAAAAGACACTTTGGAAAAATTTGAAAAAATGCTTACCGATCTAAAACATCAGTGAAAATTTTTATTCCTTGTAGTCCATATTTGAGTAAACTTTTATGTTGGCTCTTTTTTTAATGTTGTTTTCAGACAAATGGTTATAAAAATTATACTATTTCATTTATTTGGAATAGACAAAATATAGTTATACAAAATAATAATACGGTGTATTAGACCCAAGAATATTTAATATCTAAAATACAATAATAAATCTCTCTACAGAATTTAAAGGCAAATCTTCTGGGAAGTACCATAGGAATCATAAGTTCTTCTCTTCATCTTGTTGCTGTAGGTAGTTTTCTTTGCTCTCATTTTATCTGTTTATATACTAAACTTTTAATATTGTTTGCGCTTTTAGTCATTTCTGTTAATTTTCTAATTTTTGTTGCATGAGAAGGTCAATCTTATTCTTCAATGCTAGTTTACTTATTTGCTTTAAAATTAACACTTCTGCCTAATAAATAAGGATTTTGAAATTTTAATTCAATATTATATGTTTTGATATATTGTCTATTTAACATAAAACTCTTGCAGGGAATTGCCAGTCACCTGGTTGTCCCTATCATGCGGTGACACTTATAAGCGGTGATGGCATTATCAACAAAAATAGCTTGGTCCAGCTAGGACCGTCCTTAGGAATGAGAAAATCCAGCAGTTTAGAAAGTCTTCAAACCATGGTTCATGAACTTCAGAAAAGGGAAGAAGTGAATGAATCCATTTCCCATCCTGCCACCAGAGTGATTAGGGGCCGTGGCTGCAACGAAAGTTTCCGTGCAGCCGTTGACAGATCTTATGAAGCACCGGTTGCAGAAATGATGGAAACATGTAAGCTCTAAAAAACATTTAAATATTTATTTACATGTACATATATCCCTCGTTACATACAGTCTCACTATGATTTCACTGTAGTGTGATTCAAACATTGAAATAGATACTGAGTTACATCACCATATTTCTTCATTTATTATTCAACTGTTACACGTGCAGAGGTAGTGTAAATGTTCAATCTTTCTTAGCAGCAACATACTATTTGTCGTCATCAATAATTTTTAATAACAGTAAATACTGATAATTTCTTACAACTATTTCTTCAACAGCATGGAAAATTGTTAATCTATCAACTTAGTACCTATAAAGCAGTTGGAAAAGATTATTTAAATCAACTGACACAAACAATAAATCTAAATAATCTCAACTAGACATAAATACCAATAAATCGGCAAAAATAAAAGAAATAAAATGAAAACAAATGTTTTCTTTTGTTTTAAACGGTCATCCTCAGATTCGTAGAATGCAGATATAAACGAATGTATTTTTTAAAAAATAGAACAGAAATTTAAAGTTGTGTATGTCATGAAATACATGCATGTCTAACGAAGCATTTAACATCGTGGATGATACATTAAGTAACTGTTTAAAAAAAGAGAATTTTACAAAACATAAAATACATAACCTAATTCGAGACTTACGGGGAGGTCATAGAACACCCCGTAAGTCTCGAATAATGGGTGTTATTAAATTTAACTTGAATATCATTATCGTCGGCAAATGTAGCTAGTGCAGTTGTGGAGAGACCCTTCTGAATAGTATATTGATGCTCTTTAATCCTCATTTTTTGGTATTGAGCGAGCAGTGGCTCCAATATATTCACTACCCCATGATCATGTAGAGAGATATTATAGATCCCAGGCTTGCAGCTGCTATGCAACGGGTCCTTATAATTTCCGATACTGTCCATCTAAAACAAAAGAAAAGAATTTTATTTCTTTTAATTTTGCTGGTTTATTGGTATTTATGTCTAGCTGAAGTTATTTATATTAATTTATACTAGTAGTTTCGTAGAGATTGTTAGTTGATTTTACAATTGATTAAATTACTAATTACAGATGTACTAATTGTAAAAGATAAATAAATACCTTTCTTTTTAAATTTTAACTAGATAATTTTTATTTTTGAAATGCATTCTTATTTTGCCTTTGTAAAAGTTAACATATTTTACTCAGTTTCACTTTATATTAAGCCTTCTTAGAACCAATTAATTGCATAATGTGAGGGATATTTGTATTTAAATACAGTATGTATATACATCAACCAAAGCCAAATATTATCGGGCTAGAAATGGTTATAATACTAATAACTCTAATGCCAAATTGTCTATTAAATTATTAGTATTATGGCCGTTTCTAGCCCGATAATATTCGGCTTTGGTTGACGTATAGATTTAAATGTATCGGGTATAGTAAGGATGTTTGATTAAATACAGTATGTATGTATGTATGTATGTATGAGTATTTACAAATAGTTAATTTAATTAACATTAATTTATATTTATATGAAAATTGAATCGTCTTCAAGTGCAGTTGTTGGTTCAAGTTCATAAAAATCAACACAAAATCCATAATTAAAATACATAAATACTGTATAATAAAATGAAAATTGAATTTACTATAACAGTTGTGAAATTGAACACATTATTGCTAATTGGGCTGCAGTTTGAAAATTGTAGACCTATAAATTCCCACTGTCATCCATCTATCTATTCATCTGTCTTTCCTTAATCTCAAGAACAAAGTTAGATAGATAAAATCCGAGATCAGATATGGAAACCTTAGGTGCGGGAGGCCCCAATTAACTATGTACGAACTTTCAATGCAAACCAGAAGTCACGTTATTTGAATTCAAAACTTTTACCCTGAAAGCAGTTACTAGATGACTGACACAACTCTAATGTTAAAGGAAAAGTATGATATACAAAAGAAAGCTACTACTAATAATTTGAGGTGGAAAGCATATATTTTAAGTGAAATAAATTATTAACTGTTTAATAATAATCACATATTATTCAAGATTTATTTGAAGCCTTTTTTACTTATTTAGTGGAGGAAGAGAGTGAAAGTGGAAGTTCAAGTTGTCAGGTTGCAAATGTTCTCAGTCGACCCAATTTCATTTCTCATAATTCCAGAATGGCAGAAAACAGTACTGTTCAGGATGAAATTATTGATCCTTATCAAAGAAAAGACATTAAAATAAGAAAGAAAGGAATATTTAAAGGTCTTGGATCTGTTTTCAAGTAAGTACTACAAATTAAAATATTGGAGAGTTTTTGATATTTTAATATTATTTATATTGAATTTTAAATGATCGTTATAATGAATTAGCAGTAGTAATATAATTACTTGATTTCTTAAAATTTTATTCCTTTTTTTTCCATAATGTTATGTGCCGAAATTGGGGTGCATCTTATGTGCTATAAAATCTGGTTTATCACTGCTTCATTAGTGTTACATAATTATTATGATATAACACAAAACAATCCCCAGAATATATTGGGATGTATTAATGCTACTATTAATAATTAAATATTAAGTAATTTGGCCTAGAGATAGATTGAAGGATACATCACTGACTAAAATATAAATAACTCTAGATGCCAAATATTAATGAAAAGCTAAGCCATACAATTGTCTTTAAGTATTACAGAAAAAGATTTATTTCACAAGTACTTTTGACAGCATGTAATTGTTCTCCTCAGGCAATATCATTCATGAAGAACAGAACATTTGAATTCAAGAGATAGAATATTTTCAAATTGTTTTCCGCACACAAGCATAGAACTTGAATTACATATATAAAAGAAAAAAAATTACAAGATTATACAATATTAAAAAAATAACAATGATATACAAGGAATAACACTAATAGAAGTGACTGAATTAAAATACAAAATATAAATGATTACCAAAATTTAAACAATAATACATAATAAATAAATACACAGCAGCACCATTGATGATTTAAGATGTTTTATTGTAACCTTACGATTTTAGAAGGTTTAAACAGCACTATCCACAGCTCTGGTATGTCAAGTGTGGGAGAGTTACATGACAACATTAATATAATGAAAAGTGATTCCCATATAAACAGTATTCTTCGGTCCCACAGCATTTTAGAAGCAAACTTTGTGACTAAACTGGATCAAAGCTACTCTCCATCAACTTTTTAGTTCTGTTGTACACCTGTTATGTAAAACATCTTCATATGATGTTCTTCAAGACAGAGGCAGAGCATTCTAGCATTGACTCCAGTATATAATAGTTTCTACCCAGTTAGCAGATTTTGTAAGAGTACAGCATATACTCCAGTTTTTCAAAGAGTGCAACCTCATTTCTATCATTGGAAAGGATCCTGCACAACATGTCATGGGGTGCTAGTGGTAATATATAACCAAACTTCTTGAAAACCTGGCAAATATGTAAGGAAGGAGGACCTAGGTATAGAATGGCTGGTGTTGTGAAAACCAATTGCTTCTTACGATACAAAGTGGATTGTGAAAGTAACATGCCTTTGACACAGTCGACTAGATAGTTAAACTTGACCAAAGAATTTCCAGTACTTCAAACTACCAATTTAACAAGGGAAAGCTCCTCATTCACAAGTGTTTGTGTAGAAAAGAGAGAGAGAGGGAGACAATACCATAAGGACAGCTTTTATAATAGGTGACCTGCTGCTATGGAAGATGAGTCACCTTCCATAAAGAAGACAACTCATCTTCCAAAGAAATAACTCCTCTCTTTCTCCTCCTCCTCTATCTTTCACTTGAGCCATCAGCACTCCTGACTAAAGTAAATGAAGTTACAATACAGTATTTTCATTTTATTCCATTATTTACTTTATCATTTTTTAAACTATTATTATTATGTTGCGAATATCATGCTCAGCTGTGCCAAGTGCTATGCCAGACTAAAGTCAAAGCTTAGCTACCCAAACAAGTGTTAAGCTGTGTTATGGTATGTGTGTCGACATCTAGAAACTTCCTAACAATGCATTTGATATTGCAGCTTTCTGTAGTGCCATGTATATGATTTTATTAATATTTAATGCTTCTAGACTTTTGTGTAGTGTATGTGGTAAAACACCAGTAGAAGAGAGGACAAGTACAATAAATACCTTATCCATCCTCCATATCTGTCTTATATAAGTGTTTGGAACAGAGATAGTACATCTCTGTTCCAAACGCTTATATGTTATATGTACTGTATTATGTAAGCAATCTCACAGATATTTGTCAGTGGGAGTGATGGCAGGTCTATTGTGATGAATTGTTTTATATGTGATTATGACTGTCATTGTATATTTTGTGTGTGTCATTTTCTAATACTGCTTGTGGAATATATTTGTAGTATAGTACCTAGGTGTTTAATGATCTGTGTTTGTATGCAAGCTCTTGATGTGTTATGTTTGCTGTTTGATTATGCCTATGTAAATAACCTTTTTGTGCCAAGAGCTTGCAACCAGAGGTTATATGTTGTATTGTTTCTGGCAGTGTGTGGCATTTTCTGCAAGAGTCATTTGCTGCAAATGCCAAATTTTCTACAGTTTTTAGTGTTTATGACCTGATCTTTAATGGTAACCATAAACTTCTCAGTCTCTCCAAACAGACAGTTCCTAGTCAGCCAGTAGTTTGATGCAGTTTTGTCAGCATAGTCCTGAGCTAGTGCTTTTTGGGTCCATAACTACTTAGTGATGTCTGTTATTTATGTGTTGAACTATATCCAGGTGCTCAGAGTATAAGTTTAAAGGTATGTAGTTACTGTTTGCCAGAGTTATAGCTTTATGTAATCTTGATGTTTCTTGTTTTTTGTGGAAAAACTCTTGCAGTGTCAGAATTTGTTTGTAGTGCAGGCTAATATTAGTCAGGCTATAGCCACCTTCTTTACAAGATTAGTCTTTCTACAGATGATTTATGATGATATTGTTTATGTTTAGTAAGTGTTCTTGTTTTCTTTTGGAAGTGCTCAAGATTTGTGCATATCCCATGCATAACTCCAAAAGTGAAAGTGAGTACAGGGACAGTACAGTAATACCTCAGTTTTCATTGACTTTGGTTATTGTCGGTTTCAGTTTTCATCAATTTTTTTCGCGAAAAATTTGTCTTGGATTTTGTTAGTGTGCTCAAGTGACCTCACTGCTAATTTTGTGAAAACAAAGGATGACCCACACATTTTCCGGTGCAGTGTGGAATTATTTCTCGTTGTGTGAACATTACCATGCGACGGCCCACCATTGGCCAACGGTTCCATTCCCTGAACACTGGGAGTTCAGTTGTGGGTTTGCGCTTTGCCAGGGTGGGCTGGCCATGTGAAGTTTTCCGGGTTTTCTCCACGTCTGTAACACCTGAATAGGGGCCAGTTATCCTTAAACAGATTTCCCGGAAGGCATTATTCCCCTTGATACGACCATCATAAACGCATACAACTACTATTACATGACAATTATGTCACACTTTACCATGGGGCGATATAGGCTAGAAGCTCATATCCAACTAGCTTCTATAAGACAAGACATGTGTCTAGCTGAACAATTCCATTGCTGTCATCTTAATGCTAATTATCTTATCTATAATCTTAATGCTTTTATTTTTATGCTAATTAGTCTTTTATGTTAATTTCTTATTGCTTTTAGTATTTAACACTATATTAATTCTCTATAAAATGTGTTTTTGGTATGTATTTTGGAGTGTCTAGAACAAATTAATTGTTTTTACATTGATTCATATGGAAATAATTGCCTCGGTTTTTGTTGGTTTCGGATTTCACCAATTGTTTTCAGATGGATTATCGACGAAAACCGAGGTATCACTGTATATGTAGTAATAGCTTTAATAGTATGTTTTACATTTAGGTGTGTTCTTAATACTGATTGTAATCTGTTCCTCATATTCGAGTGGTTAATCTTTGTTTTATCTGTGTATGTTCTGTAAGTTTGGCTAGTTAGAATCCTAAATATGTTTAAAATTTGCTCTTTTATAGATTTGTTAATATCTCCACTTCTGAGTACAAAGTCTCCTTTCTTCAGAATTCCTTTTTCAACGTTCAGTGTTTTGCATTTGTTCACACTAAACTCCATTTGTATATCATTTGAGTATGTGTGTGTGTAGTTTGTAAAAGATGATGTAACTGATTTTGTATGGAGGTGTAAACTTTGATGTTGTCCATGTACATAAAATGTGATAATATGAACACTGTTGTTTTGTTGTGTCTGATATTGTAACCATATTGTGTTTTGTTCAATGTGCTAGATAAAGGGTTAAGTGCCAGGCAGAGCCAAAGAGGACTCAAGGAATCTCCTTGAAAAATTTCTTGCTTAATTTATATTGGATTTGTTGTTATGTGAGAGTTATGGAGGTTAAGATGTAATGTTGTTTGCAGTTGTAAGTTCGCTGACCTGGTGGAGATTGGGGACTTAAAATACCACCTCTCGGACACCAGTGTAAGTTTGCCGACTTTTAGGGGAGGATTGTTAATCCCCATCAGGATGATCTAGGGATGTTTGTGTGTTGGCGTGGAGGAGGAGACAGAGATGACAAGTATCTTAAAAAACCCGTTTATTTTACATAAAAATAAACTTACACTAAGAAATAAATATTTTCTGAATACAATTGGCTGGTTGGAAGTTAATAGCGTCGATGCTGTCTTGTTGTTCACTTTCGAGCGTCAGTGTTCTTTTAGTTGTTTATTGTCGAGATTGCCCCGGGGCAGCTTTGTTAAACAGTTCGTGAGACTCCATTGGTTGGCATTGGCGCAGCTTCGGTATCAGTACAAAGACAGAAAGATTCGTACCAAGTGTGCTGACACAGTGCTTCCGATTTTCACTCTCTTAGTGTTGACTCTTCGAATGCCTCCTGCAAGTGTGTTGTGTCCTTGACAATCAGGGATTACATCAATCTCTGTTCTCCCTTTTTTGTCCATCCTGATTGGCTCCATGTTTGTCCCTAATCGAAAGACGCGACCTGTTCAGGTCCCGAGAAGGTTGGTGTTGCGAGGAATATACCCAACACCATCTGTTAACTCTGGATGGAAAGTGTTGATGGGACTTTGAACTTGCACTCATTTTATCCCATTGTTGTCTAATCTTAGAATTTTAATGACCTGACACAATGTCCCCTTTTATAATTAATCTTTCCCCTCTTCAGGATTTTCTATGTTCTAATTATTTGTATACAAGCACCTTGTCAAAGGTCCATCTTTACTGGAGGATGCTGGTTTATATTTATTGCATTGTATCTTACATTAATAGTATTTTTTTTCTTGTCTCGGTTTCATATGACTAGCACAACTGACTCTGATCTTTGATCAATTTTTAACAATGGAAGTTTTTTTCTCTCTAGTTTTGTTTTAATAAATTTCTAATATAAATGTTTAATTTCAACCCTTTTTTTTGGGACCTCGCACAGTGAAGCATGGTAAATCAAAGGAAACTAATGAGTGGGGGATGAATTTTGTATATGCGAAGTGTGTGGGACACTGTCGAATGCTTTTCTGTAATCAATGTATACCATATGTATGTTTTTGTGTTGCTTATGAACTTGTTGTAGTAAAACAGAGTCAATGAGTAGTTGTTCTTTGCTATCTTTGTGATTTCTATGGCAGCTGTTTTCTTCTTCTGTAAGAATGTCATGTTCATCAACATGATTACATCTTGCATTGCAAACAAAATATACAAAATCTTGTAAAATGTTGGAAAACATGTAATTGGTCCGTACTATGGAGGGTCTTTGGTGTTGTTGTTTTTTAGAATTAAACTGGGCACTTTTGGGGTTTGGAAATGGATTAATTCACTTTACATAATTCTTCATGAAAGAAATTGCTTTGAAACTCAAACTTTCTGTAACTCGAACACCCTCTAGGAACACACTGAATTTGAGTTCCGAGTACCAGTGTATTTTAAATTAAGAAATTGTTCTTATATTAATAAAATAATAATAAATTAATTAATTAATCTATTAATTTGAAACTGAAACTAATTTAATATTTTTCTTAGATTTGGCAAAAACAAAAAGCTTTGTCAAGAGAGTGTTAAAAGATTAACAAAAGAGGAATTAGAACAAGAAGCTGAACGACTGAAAGCTAGATTAGCAGCTAAAGAAGAACAAGAAAAGTAATTCTTATATTCTTGAATTCAATATTTAAAATTTATATCATTGAGTTATTTAAACAGAATTATATTTTTGTCATTATTCTCTTTTTTCTATTTAACATCTACAGTATATTTGTTCTATTGAAAATTAAGCAAGTGAAAGTCTGATTTATAAGAAATAGTTTAAATAAAATACAACACAAAAAATAACAACTCAATAAAATTACAAGAAATAAAAAGATAATAATTTCCTGCATATAATGAACAGTGACCTATACCCCTCAAAAATTGCTAGAATGAAAACAAAACTTGACTTATCCCAAAACTATTCCTTCTTTTAATTATTACTTACTTCACAACTGGGTGCATAAGTAGACACTGGCATCTTTAATATCTTCAGGAATATCTTACACATCAATACGCATTTCAGGCATATGCCCCTCTTTCGTCGGCTATTTTTTTAAGACATTTAGTAAAGAGGTGCTAACTAATACATACATTTACAGTTAAAATTTCCTGACAGTGCACTGAACAGCCACAGTTGGGTTGTTCAGTACACTGTCAGGAGGATAAAACCCATAAACAAAGTCTTTTTCTGGTTCTAAATTTGGTGTTAATAGTACTGAAAAATTTTTATGCAATATTAGTAATGTTAATTTTTACCCAAATTATAGAATGTATGGTTGTGGGGATATCTGAAGATCGTATCTAAAGAGAAAGGCATACGAACTCTGCCTGAATTGAAAGCAAGCATAACATACCATATTGCTGCAATTTCTCAAGAAACCTATCGGGCTACTGTTGAACATGCTGTAGGTGCTTTGAACGTGTGATCGACACAAATGGCTTGCACATTGAACAAATGTCGTGAATAAAAACCTTTTGCGTGTTTCCATTTTGTTTCTCTTGTTCTTCATACGCCATTTTTTCACCTAGTGGTAGAAATTTGAACTAATTATTTTTTGCATTTTCCTTTTCCCATGATCCACATAACGTATATACCAAGTTTCATCGAAATATGTCAACAAGAACGGACTCTATACAGGTCTTTAATTATAACCACCCTGTATTTAATTAATAACTATACAAAACATTTAATTACAAGTTGAAACATTACTCTAATAATAATAATAATAATAGAAGAAATAATAATATACAATATATTAGTTTAATTTATGTAGAAAATATTTTTTGAACAGATTAAAAAATTATGAAAATGTTTGACATTATCATTAGCCCAGAATTAAGACAGTCGATAGGTAATGATTTACATAAACCAACAATAGTAAATAATAATGATCTTTTGTAAAAACAGTATATAGTATATAGTATTTAATTGCAGTTGTAAATCTAGTCATACATATATTAATGAAACTGGCTGCATAATGTTATTATGTGCAGTACATATTGGTGAACATGTGAGAGCAATTAAGTATAATTATGCATTACATGTAACCATTCAGTATGTGTTTTAATTAATATGCATAACTTGTTTATTTAAAAACAGAAAATTGGCAAATTAAATAATTATTATAAATAAATTATTGTAAATTTCAGAATTCAAGAAGAATACAGAAAACTTTTGGAAAAACAAAGACAACAACAAGAGAATTATTTAAATAATTCTAATCCATCACTACCGACTGTTTCTCAAAATCGGGAAACAATTTCAGGTAATCCGAATCTAGATCTTCTTTTTCTTTCTTCGAGTCGTCAAGAAAGAATGCAACAATTGAGAGCGCATCATCAACGTCGTCATCAAGAACGACACGGATTGTATCCGCAAGACGAACAGGAAGAGTGGTACGAACAAGAAATCAAAGAGAAGATTGACAAAAAACAAATTACAGTGAGACTTAAATTGAATTTTGAATTTTTTTTATTTAATAATTGTTAGAAAATTAATTTATTTTAAATTTAATGTATTATCGAATATGTTATGTACTGTACAGCAATATCTCCTAATGGATTAATGCTGTTTATCTCTTAATTGCAATGTAATTATAAAATTTTAATGATATAAATTAGATCCTTTTCAATGAAATGAAACTGTTTAAAAACTACTTTAATAGAGTAACTATAAAATAGCAATATTACATCCAATTCCAAACACTTTTGAGCATTCTTGCTCATTGTCTGGAGTGAAAACTAAAAATTTATTTATTCAAAAATTCAAATTCTTTGAAATTCTATTTAATTCTAAACGTCAGATAAGATCTTAACTTTTGAATTCCAACTGTTGAAGCAGATGAATTCCAAAGTCTAATATTGCACTGCCATGTAAACTGTTTTCCTTTAACTTAGAAATACATAATTTTTGTTAAATATTCTTTTGTTCCAACAATTTTTGACCCTTTTCAATTTTTCTGCATTAGTAGTATTATCCTACCTCTTCAGAAGACTTCCATCTCAGCTTTTAACTTTTTTCTCTCTCATCATAGAAGTAGGTGGTGAAGCTAATAGAAGTGGAGCAAAAACTACAAAAATAACATTTGTAGCTTTTGCCCCTGATGATGAGCTGGGAGGCTTCAAAGGTCTTTGGACTGGATGTAAGATTGTTTTTTTTTTATTAAAATAGAATTTATATACTGTATTATTAAATATTGAGTGACATATATGATTATTTCTTATAATAATTTAATATTTTCATATATTTTACTTTTTCATTTATGTTTGATATAATGAGAAGACAAGGAAACCACTTCCTTCTATTCCTCTACAGCAAATTAGTCAGAATTATAGTTCTCAAAGAAGAGTTTTTCCTAAGGTATTAATCACAAAATATTTACTGTATTTATTTTTGATGATCAGTTACTCTCCAAAACTGGAATATATTACTTACAAAGTGTCTGTTTATAAACAAACAAAAACGTTTGTAAAAGTTCTAATTTGGGGTAATAAAAACTCCTCAAAAGTGCAACACCATGAAGGAATGTGCGTAGCCACTTTCACATTGTGGGACCAGTAGAGGTGACAAAGATATGCAAATGATTAAAAGAACAAACAGAAATATGCAACAGACATATTCAATAACAAATATGGTCCCTGTGAACAACTATACAGGCTGCTTATAAGACAAGACATACTATCAATGAGGTGATTAATAGCTGTCTGGGGTATCCCTTGTCAAGCTGCATCCACTATGGTGCACAGTTTGTGGTGGTTGTTCCCCTTGCACCTCATGTTGGAGAGGTATCATAGGATAGGTATTTGACAAGAGAGAGATCCAGTGAGGCTGCCAGCCAGGGAAGTATTCAAACTGTTCTTCTGTTCAGACTGGTGAGAGTTTGCTGTTCAACATGCAGTTGGGCATTGTCTTACTGGAACATTGTGTTGAGTGTGGCTACACTACAGCTGAACCATAGGCCCCAAAATTCATGTGGCATACTGTTCCACTGTCAGAGTACCAGAAATGTGCACTGGGGACTAATCAAATATGATGTCTCCCCAAACCATGATGCCTGGTGTGGGGCAAGTGTGGCACTTAGAAAAAAGGGCTGGCATTTATCGTTTCTCGGGATTCTGCCACGTCTATCCATGCCATCATTCCTCCACAAACAGAAGTGGGATTCATCTGTAAACAATACCTGATTCTATTCAGTGGTCCAGTTGCAATGACAACACCATGCCAGGCATGCAGACCTGTGGTGAGTGGTTAATGGCACCTTGGTTGCCAGTTGTCTTATGTACAGTACAGTCCAATTTCATGCAACCTGTTGCAAATGGTTTGAGTTGACACAGATGCATCCATTGACAGTGAAAGGTGGCTTCATATGTTGTTTGCAGTGACAAATGGGTCCTGGCAGGCAATTCGGCAAATCTACCAATCTGTGTGCTTTGTTGTGCACCAATGCAATCCACTCCTTCTTTAGCATATTTACAGATGTTCCATCATGTCACACATTACTGGATGGTACTCATGTTGTGCCCAACATGAATGGCAACTGTGTGCATTGACAAGCCAAGGTTGTGCAGCTCAAGAATATGGTCTTGTTCCCCAGCCATTAACTGATGATATTTAGCTCATTGTCTCTGAGTAATTTTCTATGCTTCTTCAAAGGTTTGGCTGCTGTGAACCATTACTGATAGCATTTGTGACCTAAGCTAGCCACATGCAAATTGCAGGACTGGTAGAGGTGACAGAAATATGCAAATGATTAAATTTTTCAGCAGTGGGTTAGGTATAGTGCTATCCTGATGTAGTGGAGAATAAACGTGGGAAATTTTTAAAGTAATTTTCCATGCATTTCTTCTCATTACCGTTTTGGAAAAAGATTTTGTCAACAGTTATGTCTAGTAAAGAAAAGTCTTTTTTTATTGTTACATAATTCCTTTTTTTTTATGTGAATTTTTTTCCGCACTAGTTTTTGGATATAACTGTCCTTCACCACTGCCACACGATTGCCCTTGACAGATTTATCCATCGGTCACTGCTGAGTGGTGTTTTGAGTACACATTGGGTCATGTAGTATACAATTTTGAGTTATAAAGAACATGCACATACCTTCGTGGTGTTGCAATTTCACTTTTGAGGCACGTATGCTGGTTCGAGTGTTTTCATTGTGTAGTTTGTTAGCTATTTAAAATCACTTCTTAAATAGTAATTTTGTACTAATGTAATTTGGTATTTTATTATGTTGAAAACGTCATTACTTTAATTAATAATTTTGAAAAATATTATTTTCAGAGATATGAAACTGAAATGATGCATTCCAGGTCTCAAAGCTTTGATATATATAGAGAAATGGAAAGGTAACTAATTTTGGTTTCTTTGAAAATTTGTTATAATCTGCTATAGAGCCCCAATATGCAGTTTGCTCCATACCCTCATCTCCTCTGAAAAGCCCCATGAACATTGGGGGATGTGTTACATGCATATCATTGAACTGGTTAGTGTTACCAGGCCTTATACAGATGTATTAAAGCATAAAAAACAATGAATTTACTGTATATTTTTCAAAAACATTTCAAAATGAAATAAAATAATAATAATTATAAGAATATAATTAGAAAGTATACTTATTGTATCTGCTGTGTTTAAATTTCTTTTTTTATTAACAAACTCTGAAATATTACCATGAAGTTAAATTGGATTAATTAATGGAAAAGCAAAGCATAATTAAATTGAAGTTTAATTTTCTTAATGTATGAAATATCTTAATTCAGGTATTAAGATATTTACAAACCATACATTTCAACATTAAATAAATTAATTATTTAAATTTAGAACTAAACAATTATTAAATCTCTGACAGGCCCGGAAGCAGAATGGGAATAGCAGCCGATCCTAACAAATACAGTCATTACATGAACTACAAAGAAATACAACAACATCTTCGACAGATTCAACAGAATCAAAATCAGAACGTGACCAGGAAGGAAAGACCCATTTCCAATTATTACGAATACGAAAGTGCGACGCACCAACAGCCTTCGGTCGAAAGTCATACCAATTCGTTACCCAGAAGAAGTCGCATTCCCAGTTCGCAGTTATACGGTAAGGCACAAATCACATCTCTGTTTCACAATAGACAATCGAAACACGAAGAACCACGAAGCGGGCGGAACTACGATCAGCAGTATCAGGTCATACCTCACTTTACAAATACAACCGAATCCTCCTGTTCCGAAGAAAAGAAAGAGGCATCCGGATCCAAGGTCTGATCCGCAATCCATATCGAAACGATAAACTTTTACTATAAATCTCATGTAAAAAGGCGACAGTAGTTAATTAATCGGATGTCCGTATTTAATACTAATCGTTAATCTGTTGTTTTTGTGCGTATTACAGATCCTTAAAATGTGCCTTGAAATCCAGAAAAGTTTTTACAGAGATGTATTTTTTTATAAACTGATATATTTTTGAATGTTTCACTTTTGCACCATGATATTATATATATATATATATATATATGATTGTATATAAAACGTTTTGATGTATAGAATATTCATTTTCACACATTCCATCGATACCAAGAAAACACCGCGCAGTTTTCTTTTGTATGTAATTAAACCGATTCGAGTCTTGTATAGAACTGTATAATTTGAAATCGTGAAATATGTAAAATGTAAATGAAAATACATCCCTTTCTACATTTCAATGATTTTTAATCAATAAATATAATTGCTGAAATATAAAATTTTTATTGACTCCATAAAATCATGGATATTTTTACGTACCCGGTTGGTATACGGAGGAAATTGGATCTTTTTTTGTTTCTTTCCAAGTTTTACAGTGGGAACCCAAAAAATGTTTTTAAAAGCCATTAGAATTTTTGTCCACGGTTCCATTCCCGAACAGTGGAGGTCCGTCGTGGGTTCACACCTGGCCAGGACCGGTGGCCACGTGGAGTTTTCCGGGTTTTCTCCACGAAAATGGGTCCTTGCTGTCTCGAGGCTCGGTAAATAACAAAATTAGATTACATTTGACTAATAATTTCTTTCTTACAGAAAATTTGTAATTTGAAATATTGGTAGACGTTAATTTTATCAATGTAATTTTCATGTGCAATCACCAAAATGGCCAAACTATTAAGATGATTTTGCGTGGCAATGGAATGTAAAAAGTTTTTAATTCATTTTTATTTAGAGAAACTCCTTTCCCCAACTAGCTACAGTTATTGGTAAGATCGGCAGTATTCTTAAGGAAAGAATGGAAGTTTGTGGATCCTAAATGGTACGAGAGATTTAAAATTACTTTATTAAAAGATATTAACGATATTAGAGTATTGCTCAAAGTTTGATTAATAAATATACATGATTTAAAAAAGTAATATAATATTATTAGTGAAACAGCCGAGCTTGGTGTAATGATTCGAACTTTTCAGTAGTTGGTGCCATAGTTGTCTGTTTCTTTTCTTTTGTTAGTAAATTGCTGACCACGCTAAATCCTCTTTCAGTTAAATATGACAATGGGAATGCAACGAAAAACTTTGATGCAGCCCATAAAGTCAGATAATACTGGAATTTGAAACCAAATTCTTCATATCCATTTTTTAATTTCAATTTTAACTAGGTTTACCATAATATCTTTTTCTCAAACCGGGACGATTTTGAGAAAATACAACAGAAAATTAGCCTACTAGGATAAATACTGTACAAGTCGACCCCCTATAACACTGTTGATTATTCTGTTTTATATGAATTCCATGTTGTACAAGTCACTTAGATTTTACAAATACATGATCCGTTCACAGCCCTGTACACGTATTTGTAAAATCTAAGTGACTCGTACAACATGGAATTCATATAAAACAGAATAATCAACAGTGTTATAGGGGGGTCGACTTGTACTGAAAAGGCTAAATAAAGTAGTTGTTAACAAAAACAAGGAGTTAAAAGAAATTTTTAATAATTGAACTAAACATATCTTATGATTAATATTTATCACTAGTGTGAATTTTTTAAAAATTCTTTGTTGTTTAAATTTGTACATTTAAAATATGACAATACATTTGAGGAAGTTCCTATTGCTTGCCTGATGTTTCACACACTTCAAATGATTTTTAATGTTTGAGTGCCCACTATGAGTTACTGAATATTCTGTAAAGCACAGTTCATATTTCACTTCGTCAATACGATCATCGGTAAACACATGGTTTCTTTTTGGCATTTTAGAGATTTGCTGCTGACGGTTGAAAACACTTGCTGGAGAAAGAGCTATCTCAAAATGGCCGATATAAACAATGATTTTCTTTTTGCTATATTTACGCGCATATTAGAAGAAAAGCCATTAAGTTCGATGTTATTTATAAGAAAACAAGGATTTTTATGTCATCATTTAAAACAGCAAAAAAGTGATTATTATTTGGTAGTGGAAAAAGATACTTTCTCGTGGAGGCGTCCATCTTGTAAGCATTATTTTTAGCGTGGTCGAGAGGTTCCGCTAGTGCGCTGAATAAAAGAATGTGCGGATACTGTACGAAATAATTGCAAATGCCAATCAGCAATTTGAACTCGACTAAGATATGACGTGACCAGTGTAAGTTTTAGTCTTGCCAATTCTAATTGAAACAAAATATCTAAAAAAAAAAATGAAATAAAAGTATCAGGATCTCTTAGACTAGGTGCTATTATAAATTCTGTGGAAAAATATCTGAATGACAAAATAAAACATCTAAATTCATTAGGCCATATGCTATAAATTTTTGAGGAAAACATATAGACAACATTAAATGCTTCCAAATTGCTGACAAAATATCAGAATGGCATCATTTATACCTCTGGAAGATACGGAAACTGATAGACTTGTCTTCCATCCAAATTTTTTTTTGTACAAGGCAAGTTTTGACACAAACACAGACATTTGCCTTTACTTTGATTAAATTCAAATCATCTTGCAGCTGTAAATTTGTTTCATTAAATTTATTACTGGTATATAAATCAGTTAAATCAGCTATATCATTCTTATATTTCAATAAATTCTCTCTTAATTGACTCAGTTATAATGTTTTTTTTTTTAAAACAGAGGTCATAAAATCATCGAGCTGTAAAGAAAACTCAGTTGTCTTCAAAAAAATCAGAAAAATCTCCATATTGGACATTTCATGAACAGGGCATTGGTGGTTCTCAGTTCATCTCAAACTGTTTAAATGGTCCACGGATTGAATAAGTTTGAGAATCGCTGCTCTAGCAGATATATGAGAATGACTACATTATATTATGAATACCGTGCAGTTGAACACATACATAGTAACATGATAACAGTAAAGAAAATATTGCATCACCCCAGAAATTTCAAATCATCTAGTAGTAAATTACTTTGTTTACTGAGAGATTATATTGATTTTAATATATTACATTTTAAAAACGAGAAAAACTGTTCTCTAGAATGAAACATACTAAAATTTCCAATTTATTGCAGTGGAAAGGTTGAAGAAATGCTTATTGCTTCCTTCCCACAATGACTTTTTCACAAGTTGATTCTTGTTTTCATTTGAAATTGTTGTTGTTAGGAATCATTACACAACTATGAAATCATTTTTGGTTGTTTAAACAGGCAAATATTATTGATACCAAAGTCAATTCTGGTTTCCAACACAAGACACCTACAGATTAAGGCTATGTGGAGTGTTTCTGTCCGTTACAGGTGGGCGTAATGGCAACTAGCTCGACAAACATGGACGAGGAATGAGAAACGACACCCTAATTTATAATATACGTAATAAATTTTTGTTTCTAGATGAAATTCGACGTGGAAGGCCGATGGTGTCACCTTGACTAACACGGCTTTTTTAAGAAAAACAAGAGTTTATCAATTTACCAGCCTATGTCGATCTGAGTTAACGTGTTCTTTTGATTCTGCTTTTTCTCACTGCCATAATAAGTTTTTAAATTATTTTTAGAGCAGAGATTAGAATTGGAGACAATACAGTTCTGGCAGTCATTTTTATTCTTTCTCTATTGAGGTATTTTTTGATGTTTGAAAGACTTTGTTTAAGAGGTTGATTTTGATGCCAGAACCGAAGCACTAGGCGGATAGACGTCGTACTTATATAAAGGAAGTTCCTCCATGTAAATAAGAAAAATGAAAGTCCAAAGAACTTGGGAAAGTTGCATTTTCTGACCTTTTCTGTTTCGAAGATTTCTTAGTTTAAGATTTAACAGATGTTATTGTTCTTCCCGTTAACTTTTCCATTAAAAAGGTTCCGAAGTTTCTGATCTAGATTTAGTACATGTTAATGAACTAGAAAAATGATTCCCAATGAAGAATTTCTGATTCTAAATCAGTTAAATTTATTATCGTAGAAAAGATTAATTTTCTCTAATGCATCCTCTATAGCAGTTTCCATTTCAGATTCAGACGAAGAATAATATTAACTAAGAGCTTTATTCCTCTAATAACTCTTCGAAAATATATGACATTCCTAAGATATACAGTATATTCCAAAAAAGAAATACAACCACATTAAATTGATGAAACTATGTTAATTATTATCCAACAAGTATGCAACATACACCAATCAATAGACTAACCATCAGAGTTTTATATCCCATCTGCATTCAAACACGTTATTTCTATAGTCTCTAGGAAGAGCAGTAATCAAAAATGATGACTCCACAACAGAGAAAAATAAGCTGGAATCAATCATCAATGTGAAACACGAGTGTCACAGACAAATTCAAAGTGATCCACCATGTAAGACAAACATACTTTGATATCATCAGTACATAAGAGATGAAATATTGACTTAAAATCCCACTTCTCGGACACCACTGTAAGGATGGGGGAGGGAGTTTTTATTCCCTACCGTCAGGATGGCTTAAGGTCTTTTCGTATGTGGGTGGCGGTCTTGAGGAGGCAGGAAAGACAAGTGTTTCACAAAGAAAGCGTTTATTTTTTACGAATATTCTTACTGGGATATCACACTATAGATACTATGAAAAATCTAATATTGGATTTACAAAGCGAGTGTTTAATACATAAAACTTTATACACTTCCGTATGATGTCCATACTTTATTCTTATCAAATTTTTTTTTATTAGAAGCATATTTTCTGGACTTAATACTAAACGAACTCCTGTATATATCAAATGCTATTTATTTTAGTTTATAATTTATAAAGAATGTTACCTGAAGAACTGTCAATAATTGCCACAGTAAGATATGAAGTTTCTTGAAGAATTAGTTCAATTCTTAGATGGACTCGAACCGACCAGTCAATCAAAACACCTCTCAATTCTCCTGTTATTTCAGTTTGTTTATTCAAATGATTTACTCTGATGGAATATTGAAACTAGAAAAAATAGAATACCAATTTAGATTTACATTTCTATAAAGATTATAGAAGAAAAAATACTTACCTCCTCGTTATAATTACTAACAAGTTTTTGGATTTTCAATAGAGAGGTTGCGGCCGAAGTTTTCATCTCTCAAACGTGAACGTCGAACGTCGAGCGCCGCTTACAAGATAGCGGCGCTCGACGTTCACGTTTTAAAGATGAAAACTTCGGCCGCAACACTAGTTATTAATACGTGTGTTCAAGGACTACCGCGAATCAAAAACTAGTGACGTTAAACAATCGGCGGCCCGCCGTCGGTTCCTCTCCTGGAGGAGTCTGTCGGGAGCACGAACAAGTCGGGACCGCCGCCATGACGGTGCACATAGGTAAAGATTAACCGATTTTTATATATAAAATATAATAAAATTGAAAAATTAAATATCTCTTTAAGCTCTTCTTCCGTAAATCAACTGTCTATCATGGGTGAAGGTTTTAAATTCTTGTTTGACGTCGAAATTTACATAATCAAATCTTGGTTGGGCTGCAGTAATTCACAGTTGCAAGGACTCTTTGTTAGTATGCAAAGTACACAACTGTTATGTTAGGTTTGGAA